TKKKGGGGGGAGACCCTGGGCTGGAGGGTTCAGCACAGGTGGGAAGTGGGATCATGGTGGGGGTTCAGACCCAACCAGGAACCAGGTCATAATTGTGACCCTAACCCAGGGTGACCATTGGGACCCCATCCCAAAGCTCAGAGTGACCAGGTCATCACACCTTGGTGACCACCTTGACCCTGGTGACCCCAGGCCAGGGACACGTGGTGACCAAGGTGACCCCAACCCTGGGGACCAGGATGACCCTGGTGACCCTGGTGCCCCACTGCCCCCCAGGCTACGCCTTGGCCGGGCTGCGCGTCCCCGGCCGGGCGCTGGTGGCTGCAGGTGCCCCCCGTCACCTCTACGTGGGTGGGGTCGTCCTCTTTGAGGTCCCTGAAGCCACTGGGGACTGGAAGGCGCTGCAGACCCTCGAAGGGGAGCAGGTATGGGGGGACAGGGTACTCCTGGGTGTCCCCACTCCCCCCACGTGACACAAGTGTCCCCTCACAGGTGGCGTCCTAATTCAGGGCCGCCCTCTGTGCCATGGAGGAGGGCCCCATGGGTGTCCCCACCCTCTCCCAGGTGACACGTGATCCCCATGGGTGCTCCCACCCCCCCATTGACACGTATGTCCCTCCACAGGTGGGGTCCTATTTCGGGGCCACCCTTTGCGCCCTGGACCAGGGCGGGGGGACGGTGGCACTGCTGGTGGGGGCCCCCAGCCACTACGATGGGCGCTGGGGAGGACGAGTGCACCTGTACAGGTGGGAGGAGGTAAGGGGGGCACCCCCACCCTGGGGTCACCACCAACCCCCAGAAGTGGGGGGGCACATGGCCAGGGACGTTGGGTGACTGTGGTAACCCCAAGCCAAGCCCATGGGATGGGGGTGACCAGGAGGACCCCGACCCAGGGAGGGTGGAATGAAGGTGACCAGGGTGACCCCATCCTGAGGAATGTAGTACTAGAGTGATCAGGGGTAACAACAGCCAAGGGTGACCAGGACCAGGGTGACCAGAGTCCTGGCAAGACCGGGGTGACAACCAACCAGAGATGTAGGGTCACCACAGTGCCAGCAGCTTGGCGACCATGGGGTAACCACAGTGACCCCCACCCAAGGTCCATGGGATTGGGGTTGGCCAAGGGGATCCCCATAATGTCTTTGTGCCCCCAGGATGCCCTGCACCCCTCTGGGCAGCTTTATGGTGCTCCAGGTCACCCCTTGGGCCGTTTCGGGGCGTCGCTGGCCACCCTGGGAGACCTGGACGGTGACAACCTGCCAGAGGTGGCTGTGGGGGCCCCGCTGGAGGATGAGGAGCGTGGGGCTGTCTACATCTTTTGGGGGCAACCCGGGGGAGTGGAGCTCCACCCCCGCCAGGTGGGACCTGGGGACAAGGGGGAGCAGACCCCCACCAGGGGAGGGGACATCAGGGGCTGAGGTGTCCTCTCCCCCCTCAGAGGCTGCAGGGGGACGTGGTGGCCCTGGGGCGTTTTTTCGGACAGGCGGTGGCCGGGGGCCTGGACCTGACAGGGGATGGGCTGGCAGACATGGCAGTGGGGATGGAGGGACATGTCGTGGTGATGAGGTGACATGGGGGGACATAGGGGACACAGGGTGGAGGTGAGGACATGGGGACATGGGGATGTGGAGGTGGGGACAGGGATGGTGATGGGGACATGAATGTGGGGTTGTGGGGAGAGTGATGGGGGCACGGGGTTGGAGACAAGGATGTGGGGGTGGAGATGGGGACACAGGGTGGGAACACAGGGACCCAGTGGGGTTGGAGAGGGGAATGGAGATGTGGAGACATGGGGATGGGGACAGATGGTAATGGAGTCATGAAGGTGGGAATGTGGAGGTGGGGACATGGGACAAGAACATAGGGACATGAGACAAGGACATGGAGACACGGGTGGTGATGGCGGGATGGGGACATGGGGTTGGATGAGGACATGGGGGTGGGGACAGGGGGATGGGGACACGAGGGTGGGGACAGGGACATGGGGATGGGGACACGAGGGTGGGGACAGGGACATGGGGATGGGGACATGGGGGGTGCAGATGCAGGCATGGGGACACAGGGATGGAGACATGAAGGCAGCAGTGGGGACAAGGGCATGGGGGTAAGTCCAGGGAGGAAGGGCACTGGGGAGATATGGGGTACATGGAGGGACACGGGGTGGTGACACAGCCAGTGCCACCCCTGATATGTCCCCTCCCCCATGTCCCCTCCCCTGTAGGTCCCGCCCAGTGCTGAGGGTCACCACCAACTTGACCTTTGACCCTCCTGTGATCTCAACCCGCGGGGTCGACTGTTCTGATGTCACCATTGTCACCATTGTCACCCTCCAGCTCTGCCTGCACCGCCCAGGTCTGGGGAGGGGTGCCTGGGGGCACTCCAGGAGGTGCTGTGGGGGTTACTGACTTTTCACCCTGACACTGACCTCCAGGTGACCTGCTGACCCCCGTGACCTTCCGGGTGGATGTCGACCCGCAGCGGGCACAAGGTCGGGGGGAATTCGGGGAGGGGCAGCGGAGCTGGGACGGGGAGATGCAGCCAGGGCTGAGCTGCCAGAGCAAGGAACTGAGGGTGCTGGTAGGGACCCACTCCTGGGGCCAGGATCCACAATTAGGGGTGGGACCTACACTTGGGGGGTGTGATCCACACTTGATGGGGATAAGATCCACACTTGGTGGGGAGGTATCCACACTTGTAGGGGCGGAATCCACACGTGGAGGGGTGCGATCCACACTTGGGGGGGTGGGACCTATACTTGGAGTGTGGGACCCACACTTGGGGGGCCGAGATCTACACTTTGGGGGGACAGAAACACATTTGTGGGGGTGGAATCCACACGTGGAGGGGTGGGATCCACACCTGGGGGGCAAGATCCACATTTAGGGGGTGAGATACCACTTTGGGGTGGGGTGGGGCACACAATTTGGGAGGCAGAACCCACACTTGGGGGATGGGATCCAACTTTGGGGTAGGGGTGAGACCCACATCTGGGGGACGGGACCCACACTTGGGGGGCAGAGGGGAACCAGTACTTGAGGGGAAGAACGTAGTTTTGGGTGTGGAGGACCCACACGTCCAGAGTGTGGCTGGGGTGTTACCCCCTACTTCTGGGGTGCCCCCCAACCTTATGCGCCTTGTGCCCCAGCCCTGCCTCGAGGACTTTGTCACCCCTATCCGTGCCAGTGTCACCATCGCCCTGCCCGAAAGGGACCCCCCAGGGCCCATCCTGCCTCCCAGCACTGGCCCCACCTGGGTCGAGGTAACACCACAGAGGCACTGGGATGTGGGGCACGATGGGTGGGGTCCCCAAAATTAACCCACCCCCTTCTTTCCCTGCCCCATAGATCCCCTTCGAGCAGAACTGTGGGGACGATGAGGTGTGCAAAGCTGACTTGGAGGTCAGGGTGATGCTGGGGGACGCAGCTGTTTTGGGGGTTCCCAGCGCCGAACTGAGGGTTCAGCTGATTGTGGACAACAGGAGGGAAGATGCTTATAAGGCGGCCCTACAAGTGCAGCACCCCCCGGGGGTCTCCTATCGGTGGGCCCGGGCCAGCCAGGTATG